GTCTCACTCTATCTCCAGGCTGGAGTGTAGTGGCGTGATCTCGGCTCACTGCAACCTTTGCCTCCCAGGTTCAAGTGATTCTTCTGCCTCATCCTCCCAAGTAGGTGGGACTACAGGTGCATGCCACTACACCCAGCTTTTTGTATTTTTAGTAGACATGGGGTTTCACCACGTTGGCCAGGATGGTCTTGATCTCTTGACCTCATAATCCTCCCGCCTTGGCCTCCCAAAGTGCTGGGATTACAGGCGTGAGCCACTGCACCTGGCCAAGACTCCATCTCAAAAAAAAAAAATTTTTTTTGGTCACAGAACTAAACAAAGAGTGCATGTAAAAACTAGTATAATTCATGGGGCGTGGTAGCTCACGCCTTCATCCCAGCACTTTGGGAGGCCAAGGCAGGCGGATCACCTGAGGTCAGGAGCTTGAGACCAGCCTGACAAACATGGAGAAACCCTGTCTCTACTGAAAATACAAAATCAGCTGGGCATGGTGGCGCATGCCTGTAATCCCAGCCACTCGGGAGGCTGAGACAGGAGAATCACTTTGATCCAGGAGGCGGAGGTTGCAGTGAGCTGAGATCGCGCCATTGCACTCCAGCCTGGGCAACAAGAGCAAAACTTTCTCACAAAAAAAAAAAAAAAAAAAAAAAAAAAAAAAAAAAAAAAAAAAAGAGTGAGAACTTTGGTCTGAGACTTCCTGGAATCAAACAGTAGCACTGCCTCCCACCGGCTTTATGACTCAGGGGAAATACTTAGCCTATGAGAGACTCAGGACCTGGACCCCCTATTCCTCTTCTCCACCCATGGGAGAGATCAGGCCCATCTCACAAAGGAACAGATTTTCAAGATCGATTTGAGGATAAGTATTAGCCCAGGACATGTTATGGGATGAACAATGTCTTTGAACTAGGCAGCAAGAGGGGACAAGTGGGGGACAGGGTACAGGAGTCAGGGGAAGTAGGCAAAAAGGTGAACTGTTTAGTAGGGAATCAGGAACATAGAAAAGTAGCAAGGCTAGTGACCTTGGTACCCAGACACCAGAGGTATAACTCAGGTACAAGTTGTGAAAACAGCTCAACTCCAGGAATACTTTCATCCCCAGCATGCAATCTCCACAGCTGAGCTTTGATAACTGTGGTGCTATTCCTGGTTTTAAGGTTACCTGGTCCATCAGTCAGTGCTCTTGTCTGCACTCCAGTTGGGGTAAGTCATGAACTGTAAAGGACAATCCTGTGGGGTATGAACAGGTTGGTGAGTCCAGCCTAGGGCAGACTAACTCACCATGGCAGTCCAGGGCTACTGATGACAGACATGTACCATGAGCTTGGGAGAGTCTCACCTGTTTCCACTGGAGAGAATACACAGGTGTTACTGAGGAACAGGGTTGTAAGGACTATCTGAGGATATGTTACGGAGAGACAAACATTGCACAGCTAGAGAGAAGGGGACAGAGTTGGGGCACGGCCAGAAGATTGGAACTGGGGAGCTGTCAAGAGGGTGGAAAAACCAACAGAATCAAGGAGGCACCAAGACCTGTGAGGGAACATGCTGGGCACCAGGTGTGAGAACAGCCCACTTCTGGGGTCATTCACCAGTAGTTCTCTTCAGGGTCCCTTTGCCACAACTAGTTTTGAGTTCATGTGGTCCACCTGCTGGTGGGAATGTACACGCCATCAGGCCTATAGAGGATGACGAGTTTGTAAGAGTCCAGTCCAGGAGAGGCAAAAACACCATGACAGACCTCAGCAAGGGAGAATAATCCTTACTCTGAGGAAAACAACTTCACAAAATGAACATACAGGGAAGGCTCCCAGGCAGGGCCCAGTGACCCCACATGCACCCATGTCAGTTTACAGGAAGTGATTGAGCTGGAGATGCCCTGCTGTGAAGATTCAGAGACTTCTGAGCCCCAATCTTGGCCACTCATGGCCCTTGGGTAGAATGTGTAGGGTGTCCACTCAGCCACTTTTTCTTTTTTTTTTTTTTTTTTTTTTTTGAGACAGAGTCTCCCTCCATCACCAGGCACCAGGCTGGAGTGCAGTGGCGTGACCTCGGCTCACTGCAACATCCGCCTCCCGGTTTCAAGCAGTTCTCCTGCCTCAGCCTCTCGAGTAGCTGGGACCACGAGTGCGCACCACCACGCCCAGCTAAATTTTTTGTATTTTTAGTAAGACAGCGTTTCACCATGTTGGCCAGGATGGTCTCGATCTCTTGACCTTGTGATCCGCCTGCCTCAGCCTCCCAAAGTGCTGGAATTACAGGCGTGAGCGACCGCACCCGGCCTCACTCAGCCACTTGTTAGATGGCATGATCTGGGCCTCAGTGCAACTTCCAAGAGCAACATGGAAAGAGAAGAGGAAAAAAACCAGCGTTCTGGCTGAGGAGTGATGATGCCAGTGGTATGACCCACCATAGCAGTGAGTGCAGAGTTCTCCAGCATTAGCCTCAGGTGGAAGCTCCTTTGGACCTTGCCCAAGAACTCTCTTCGTCCAGGGAGACACAAGGCCGCATGCTCTAACATGAACGTGTCTGAATTCAGCGCAAGACACCCAGGAGCCCGGTTATTCTGCCACCGTCCTCCCCGCATGTGTCCCAGACCCTGTGCCCTGACCCAACCACGTACTCACCCTCCTCTCCCAGGCCCCCATACCTGAGATCACCGCGGCCTTATATAGGGTAGACTACGAGCCTACCGTGCCTCGGCCACGTGCAGGGCGACCTGTACCTGGTATGCTCACCTGTGGCCCACACATCGTCTGCATCGTGGGGCGCCGAAAACCCAACACATCTTAAACACAACCGTTGACCTTCCCCCTACGCCGCCTCTTAACGAGGGACCTCGGCCCAGCTGCTCTTTGAAGACCTGTCTGATGACAGCCATGTAACATGTTTCTGGCTGGGCCGTTTTTATTTTATTTTTGAGACGGAGTCTCACTCTGTCGCCAGGCTGGAATGCTGTGGCGCGATCTCGGGTCACTGCAACTTTCACCTCCGGGGTTCAAGCAATTCTCCTGCCTCAGCCTCCTGAGTACCTTGGACTACAGGCGCGAGCCACCACGCCCAGCTAATTTTTGTATTTTTAGTAGAGATGGGATTTCACCATATCTCTGGGAATCGATCCCAGGATGGTCTCGATTTCTTGACCTCGTGATACATCCGCCTCGGCCTCCCGAAGTGCTGGGATTACAGGCGTGAGCCACCGCGCTCGGCCCTGGCTGGGACGTTTTTCTGGGCCTTGGTCCGGACTCCGTAAAGCGGACACAACACCAGGGCGAGGATTTCGAGGCGGCTGCGGGCACAGGGGGGTTTCTGCGGAGACCCCGGCGCTGCGCGGTCCGAGTACCCCACGTGGCCGCCCGTCCACTGCGGGGTCACCGGATCTCAGCAACATTCACCGTCGCGAGGACGCGTACAGGTCACCGAGGCAGAACTCCCCGACTCTCGCGCCTTTGCTTCTGTTCCTGGGGACCAGCGGAGCCTCCCCGCCGCCCAATGATCTCACCGCTGCAAGGCGCCCCAAAGCAAGTGCCTAAAGCCAACGCCGGAAGCCCCGCGCCCTACGAGGCCCGCCAGATCGTTCACCTTCCTGGGCCGCCATTGGCTACGTCTGCATGGCCGCACGTCGAGACGCCTTATGGGAAATGTAGTTCACGCCCCCCTTCTAGAGCTAGCGGCGTCCTCCCTTGTCGCCTTGGTAACGACCTAGCCGCGCCGCGAGGAGAGCCGGGAATGGAGGTCGTGGCTGGAGGGGCGCCGAGCTAGGGGAGGCGCAAGGCACTGAGTTCCCAGAGTTCCGGGAGTTCCGGCTTCGCCTGGCAGTCGGCAGTCCTCGGCAGGAGGACTGTCCTGGCGCCTCGGGCAGCTCTGCGTGGGCCGGGGTGACTTCCCCGCGATCCCCTGGGCGAGGTGAAGGGCGGGGACCCCCGCTGCGCCCTCCACGCGCCGTTCCCCACCGGCGAGTGGCTCCTCTTCCTCAGACCTGTCGCTCGCGGACAGGCGCCGTGGGCCTCCCGGGCCCCTGCACTGCCCGCCTTCCCCGCGGCTCCCGGAAGTGGCTCCTTGTTTTCGGAGGCATTTCACCCGCGCGGGGAGAGCTTCCCGGGAAGATTCCGCGGCCGTCGAGGGCTTCCGCGTCCCGGACGCGTTTCCGTTGAGCCTGAGGGTCCGGGCCGGTTCCGCCCTCACGGTCCAATGGCCGCGGAGGGGCAGGTGAGCGGAGGGTGTCTCCGAGGAATGAGAAGGGCCGCCAGGTCGGGGGGCAGCATGTCCCAGGGCAGAACTGGAGGAGGGCAGGGTCTCAGATCTGCATATGGGTCCAGGCGGAGGTCTTTGATGCAGGGCTGGGGCATGCCCGTGGCAGTGGGAGGCACTGGAGATGTGCCGCAGGACTGGGAGAGGATGGGGTTGTAGTTGCTGTGTCAGGCACTCCGGAGTGCAGAACAGTGTGTGGAAGGCCAGGCAATGTAGGGCGAACTGGGGAGGTTGTGCTGAGGGTGTAGAGCTTTAGGCATGCTGCTGTTCAGTTTGTGCCTGGTGAGCAGGAGGGCAAACTGGGCCCTCCTGGTACTTGGCACCTAAGGGAGAAGGATGAGCATAGGTTTGGTTGCATCTGAGAGTTGTGATCTCTGGGACTGGAAATGGCAGGCAGGAGGTAGAGTGGGGCCTGTGTGCTTGGCCCTGGACATAGCTGGCATCGGTCTAGTCACCAGCCTGTTGTCACTTTGGGCTGGACACAGTGTCCAGTAGTAACCCTAGAGGCATCAGTGACACCAGCAGCTCTGGTATTCCTCTGAGGCAGGAGAAGGAAGATATGTGGAGGGAGTATGGCGGGGAAGGGCTTGGGGCTCCTAGGGAAAGATAATGTCGGTGGGAGATCCGATAGGACCCCCAGACACAGGTCAAGGGCATGTATGTGTCCATCTGTCCGTATTTTGGTTGTTTTTTTCTGCCCATCATTGACCCCAAGGCTCAGTTGGACCCATCATTGCAGGGCTTGGTGATGTTTGAGGATGTGGCGGTATATTTCTCCAGGGAGGAGTGGGGGCTCCTTAATGTGACCCAGAAGGGCCTATACCAGGATGTGATGCTGGAGAACTTTGCACTCCTTAGCTCACTGGGTAAGTCTCTCACACTGTCCCCCAGCACACTGACTACCGCTGCATTTTCCCCATGGGAAGTTCTGTCCATATCGAAGTCAGACCACAGGGGCTGTTTCCTTCCCAGATTCCCTGTTGTAGTTATTGTGGGTGCTGGGATTAGGCTGTCTTTTTCCTGGCCTTTTCCCTGCCTTTCTCTGAGCAGTACTGTTAGCAGCGTCAATACCTCTTGCCCCAGGAGCTAGTGGAGCAGGTTTTGGGGGTCAGATGTTTCATAGTTTGCCCACCAAATCCCACCAAGCTCTGCCTCTTCCTGGCCGTGTGACTCTGTTGAACACATGGCCTCTCTATGCTCCGGGTTTTCCCTTTCTACAAAAGAAGTTTTACAGGGAACTCCCTGGGCCAGCCTTGAACCACGAATTTTAATCAGAACAGTTTGGGGAATATTACCATCTTAATATTCATATTAAGTCTTAATGTCGGTGAACATGGGATATGTTTTATTTATTTAGCTCTTTTATTTTTCCGATAATGGCTTTTTTTTTTTTTTTTTTTGAGACGGAGTCTTGCTCTATTGCCAGGCTGGAGTGCAGTGGCGCAATCTTGTCTCACTGCAGCCCCCGCTTCCTGAGTTCAAGCGATTCTTCCGCCTCAGACTCCCGAGTAGCTGGGACCACAGGCACGTGCCACCATGCCCGGCTATTTTTTGTATTTTTGGTAGAGATGGGGTTTCACCATGTTGGCCAGTATGGTCTGGATCTCTTGACCTCGTAATCCGCCTGCCTCGGCCTCCCAAAGTGCTGGGATTACAGGCGTGAGCCACTGCACCCGACCTTGTTTTGTTTTTTTAAGTAATGTTTTGTATTATCAGCGTACAAAGGTACTTTCGTTAAATTTATTCTTAAGTACTTTATCCCTTTTGATGCTTTTTTAATTTTATTTTTATTTTCTTGAGACAGAGCCTTGTTCTGCCATCCAGGCTGGAGTGCAGTGGCACAATCTCAGCTCCCTGCAACCTCTGCCTCCGGGGTTTAAGCAACTGTCCTGCCTGAGCCTCCTGAGTAGCTGGGACTACAGGTGCGTGCCACCACGCCTGGCTGATTTTTGTATTTTTAGCAGAGATGAGGTTTCGCCATGTTGGCCAGGCTGGTCTTGAACTCCTGACTTCAGGTGATCTACCCACATTGGCCTCCCAAAGTGCTGGTATTACAGGTGTGAGTCACTGTATCCAGACTTTTTGATGCTATTTTAAATGGAATTATTTTCTTAATTTAATTTTGGATTGTTCATTGCTAGTTGTAGAAATATAGCCGTTTTTTTTTT